TTTATTATTATTATTATTATCATTAATATATTTTTTTTTATCAGTAGCATCATTATTATTACTAATATTATTTTTGTTATAGTTATTGTTATTATTATTGTTACTGCTGTGCTATTGCTATTATTATTATTGTTGCTGTTGTTGTTGTTGCGGTTGTTGTTGTTGTTGTTGTTACCATTGTTATTATCGCTCTTAGCCTTATTATCAGTATCATATTTATTACTCTTATTACAATCATTCTTTATCATGCAATTACTACTAAGTACTAAGATAATTACTGGCAACCCAGAAGAGGGGTGGTGGGGAGCTGAGAGGGAAAAACTCACAGACAAGAGTATGGTAGGGGGGAGGGGTAGGAGTTTCAAGAAGACATGCTGCTTGAGCTCTTACTCCTCTTACAGTTCCACAGTGGACAAAACTACCGGAACACGTAGAATGTGCTGACAGAAACTCCGCGCTCTTGGCATTTTTAGTATCGTTTTCAATGCAAGTACACAACACAGCAATGTGAAGAAGACAAAGTACGAATGATTTGTACTGTATACATAACACCGTACAGTAAAGAAAACAAACCTACAAGAGTTACGTTAGATAGTTCGAAAAAAGCAAAGATTCTAAAGTGTTATAAGTCTATAAGTTGCCGGTATACAATTCTTAACGCTCCAAATTGCACTCAGAATACGCCGACGAAACTGCCAAATTCCCGACAAATGTACGACATTGTGTTACCCCAGACAGTTCAAATGTGAAGTATTCGCTCACGTTTCAGATTCCCGAAAGGCAGGATATAGCCAAGGGATATAGGGACATAATTTGATTTGAAATTCAGCACAGAGCATAATTCGGTAGGATAGATTGCTTCTGTTCCTCTCATGTGGAGCTCGGAGCTTGCGGGCTATTTCCTCGTCTGCCCTGTCTCCCTCTCCCTCTTCCCTCCACGCAGTCTATCTATTTCGACGTCCCCAACCCCCTCTTTCATTCTCTCCCTCCCTCTCTTTCTCTCTCTTTCTCTCTCTCTCTCTCTCTCTCTCTCTCTCTTTCTCTCTCTCTCTCTCTCTCTCT